AACAGGGAGGTAGGGGAACCAAAGCGAAGGTCAGAGCGACTGGCCAAGAGGATATACGCAGTCGAACTGGCGACTGTGACGTAGCCACTTCTTGGAAGTTCATTTTGGAGGTGTTCATAGTCTGGGTGGCGACCTGACCAACACTGGCGCCGGCCTTCCCTTCCAGTCTAGACCATTCAGCGCAGGAAAGGGCAGCAAGGACGGCTGCGAGGCAGGCGTCAAGAAGACAGCCATCGTCGTGAAGAATGAGCAAGTCGATGTGCAGCAGATACATGCCACAGACCATTTTTTTGAGGCTGGGATCAGCATCAGTAGCGGCGAAATATATTTGTAGTTGGTCCTTGGCGTCTGGGATGGCACACGTACGCAGGATCCAGTCTAACTGGACGGACAGAGACTGAATATCTTTGCTGACCGGTTTGTTAGTACGCAAAAGGCGCTGGGAGAGGTTGGTTTGCTCAACCGAACATATAAAGGGGCTCTCCAGTTTTAGCGTAGGCATTACCTTGACCTTTAATCGAAAAAGACTAAAATGAGCGTAAAGGCTTGGAATTTTCAGAAAAGCAAACAGTGGAAAAGGCGCACATGTTCTATGTAGATATAATTAAATTCCAGGAAGCTACTAAGTTGTATGAAATAGCAGCAGGTGGGAATCCGACAAAGGAAAGGGAGAACAGTAAAACAGACATACCTTAATACCACAAAGTACACGAGTGGCACCGACCGTAACCATTGCGGAACCGGCAGCAGTGCTTATGACATCCTTGGACACAGTAAATCCTGCAAACTGGTTTGCAACTGAGTCGTTCAGCCGAAGTTTATGATTAAATAGTTTGTCAAAAAGACAGATAGGTTTTAAAAGTCCAAGGTCATCCATGGGAGCAGCAGAGAAACTAAAATACGAGAAAAAAATAAGTGGAGGTAACACGTTAGTCCAGACCGAGCTCTGTAGAGAAAAAACGCTGTGGCAAAATTACAGCTATTATCAGAACCACAAACTTCCCTCTATCGCTTGGAGAGAACAGCCAAATAGTTGAAACATATGGAAGGTATGAAATCCTTAAATAGCAGCTCGAAAAGTTGTGGCATAGGACGCTTTTCCGCATTATGTATCGGTCTTTAACCAATACTATTAATGGGCTGCAATAACTCATTTTATTTGCTACTAGGCCTTCCCCCTTCATGTTATTTCTCAATTTCTTTTACCTAGCCCTGACTTTCTCCGATTGTCTAGCAACAGGTGCTCGACAATCTGAGTTCCATGTTTTCGAATTTAAATTTGCATCCGGTAGGCTAGTTAATGGCGAGGATAAGGATAGGGGGGAGAAAGGAAGGATAGAAAAGCTAGCAACGTTCCAGCTCGACTCCACGATCAAGGTAATACGAAAACGCCTAAGTATACGTGCCAGAATATCAGTACAGATTAGTTTGCAAGTTTGAGCAATCGAACCTCTTGTTCCCTTTAAGTACAGTCTCGGGAAACCATTTGGGAAAACTCTTCTCAGTTATGATTCATCAGGTCAAAGGATTGTCCTATTGTCCAAATAAACATTTACCCCATAAAACCAAACAAACATGCATAAACTTTCAGGTATTATGTCTCAGCGAGCGTCCCAATCGAGGACTATCGTCAGGGTTTCTAAAAGTAATGCTGATAATGCTGAGAAAAGAAGATGCGGTGGTTGAAAAATAACTTTACGCGCCCCACGTCCCGGAATTATGCCGATACAAGCGAAAATGCGAAAACCTGGGAAGTAGTTGAGAAGAGGTAGCTGCTAGTCCTAGAACAGGAACTTTATTTACTTGGAAGTTTGAAATCATGCTCGAACCTATCATCAGAGAAAGCATCGGGTGAATAAAGTTCTCGTTGCAGTGATCGCATCTGCTTCTGTTCAAATACTTTCTGGAAATCGCATTTTCGCTTTTGCCAGTTGATAATTAGTTGGCAAGGACCAACAACTATCGAAAATGGGCGCACTAGTGCGAGACTGTAGATCCAAAATAGAGTCCATATTCTTCAAATGCCCATGTCAGCTACGTGTTTCATGTCCATATCACAAGAAACAAAATTTTAAGGCTCATCTAATTGTGTCCGTCTGACCCCCGCACTGTGGCTTTCAATCACGCAAAGCATCCCTGGCGTTGTTGGGGGATTTCTCCTTCTCTTTTACAGCAGTTTAATATATGCCCATCAACGATTTTTCCTTGGGCAATTGGATTGAAAAGTACAGTTAATTGACTCAATGTAAAACACAGTGAGGACACAAAATGAAAGACTTCTCAAAATAACCTAACCAACACGACCACACGAATATGAATTCGCTGGTCCTAGGTGGAATTGTAAAAGGTGGTTAAAAAGGCTGAAGCCACCTAGTAGCCAGTTCACTGCTGTGTGGAAAAGGTTTGAGGGGGAGGGAGGTAGTCCTGTGGAATGGAAGGTTGGAGTAAATATGTGGGTCCGAGCTGTATGCGGGCATCAGGCTACTCGGCCCTGGGCAGTAGCAAGGACAAATGTCGTATGCGTTTCTTTTTTACGCCAAGGACAGGGTTGTGCTCCAGCCTTACCGTAGTCTCCGCATACGAGCTTTCTCGCTTCTGTTCCGAGACATGCCTTATCCCTCTTGACTAAGCATGAGTTTTTGTGGCAGGAGCCACCGAAGGGAAAACGTCCATAGAGGCGGTTTGTGAAGGCATCTTGTCTTTTTTTATTAGAGCATAGAACTAAGGGGTGTAAAGCTAGTACTTGCATCTTAGGGGACTCGATTTATTCATTTCTTATAGCACCGGTTTACTTCTTTTTTAATAAATACTGCAGTTCTTTCGACATCAGGCAACGGCTATGAACATGCTCGATCTGAACAGTCGGGATGACGTTGATTGCGACTTTCCACGAGTGAAGACCGGCGACAACTGATTTCAAGAGTTTAATTCATTCCTGGCTCTATCGACAAACAACCTCATGTTCTGTCGGGCTATGTTGACTCAAACTTTCAGTTAACCCCTCTGTCGCCTTTTTTTAGCCAACGAATTCAAGTAAAGAGCGGCTGTGCTTCACCAAACTTTTATGAAACGAATGAGTATCGATTTCAACGGCAAATGACTTTTCTAACCGCCCCCTAAATAATTTAGCCAGTTGCATGTTGTCCTAAGTGACAGATTCTCCAGCAAAGTTTGATTCGTTAAAAAGCTAGCCTTCCATACTGCAAGTCCACGTAAGTGCGCGAGATGACTCCCCAGACCACATGAACAAGTCAAGGGAAATCGAAGATTTATACTACCGCAAAACTCGAATGCGGTGGCGTGCGCGACCCTTAGAAAATCTAGAAAATAAAGTCAAATATTGTTTGATCTCTAGTAGCAACACAGGTTGGTCTGAGGTACATTGGGGCCAGGTAGGTTGCTTATTCTTCGGTCCAACTACTACAGCTAAAACACGACAGAAGAGCCAAAGATGTTCCTCGTAAAATGCGAACTCTATCGTGTGCACATTAATGTCAGCTTTTTCGAAAGTCAACCGGGTTTATGGTCCTGCAATCGAAGTAAATGACCGTTCTATTGTAACTCATCCGATTCAAAGTTGACCACCTGAATATCCTTGTCAGAAAATGAGACTTAGTCCTAAACTTTAGACTTATTTACTGAAATAAACTTCATTAATCTGGCCTGATCTTAAGGATAAAGACGTCTTAAAATAGTTGGCTATCTAAGTCAGGGAAAAAAGGGGCAGGGTTAGCTGTTTGGGTTGGCGATCGCTGATGTGGCCAAACATTCGAGTCAATTGGCGAAACTAATTTTGTTACGAAATCTCCTCGTGCTGCTAGGCCTATACAGGCTGGAGCGTATGGTTTGTGTTTCGTTGTCAAGTACCTTGTTGTTTTATGAGAGGGTGAGTTCCGGGTGGCCAAAAGTAGACGGACAGGAAAGGCATATCGTCGTATTTTGAGTGCACCATATAAACGGGAATCGTAAACACATACCGGTTTAAACCATCAAAAACTACTTAAGTCCGCCAAATTAGTTTGCATAGTAGGCAAACAAGAAATCTCGCAAACAGAAATTGGGTTTTGGAAAATTCCTAGGATGCCCAAAAATCAATCCTAATCGATGATGCTAAAGACTGAATACAGTTCAACAGTTTTCTCAATACCTAAAACATAAACTTGACAACCTAGCCTAATTTTTACATTTCATGTCGATAAAGACAAAACGAAATGAGTGACGCATACGAGGCGGAAGGGACAGAGAAGTTCAAAAAGTAAAAGTCGCAAAAGGCCTTATAGACAAATGGCAGTCGCTGTTGACTACGGCAGTCATTTTTTAAACAGAATATGGTATAAGGCTGCGCCCGAACACATTGGGCCTCACTGTTTTGAGCCACGAAAGTCTACAGGAGCCGAGCAAATAAGGCGATCAGGTTTACTAACCGGTTACTTCAAAGTGGTCCACTAACTGGATGGAACGATAGTCAGTAACAAGTTAACCGAAGGGTCCTCGGTAGAAATGTGTAAACGGTAAAACGGACAACAATAAACGAGGTTCACATGTGAAGCAGCTAATTTGCAGCATAAAGCTAGTTCATTTGGCCGTGATTAACGTCACTGATCGTTTAAGAAGGCTGATCTAATTTGGATATCCAGGCGACAGGTGCAAAGCCCTTAAATAAAAATCCCGCCGACTTAGATGGTTGATGTTATAACCGGAACCTGTTCTTTTGAGTTCCCAGCATCAACTAGCTATATAAATTACGATTATTAGGGGGGTTTGGCATATCTGCTAAATTATGTTGGCCTGATTATGAGTAACTGTTATTTTACCACAGACGTATGCAAACAGTCAATTACTTGAGCGCTCTTCGGCAGGTTAAACCAACTTGCACGGGGGCAATAGCTGGTATGTTGCTAAAGCTCAGATGTTGTCTATTTCACGGGATTTTCACCGACCAAATTGCCTATACATTTAAAGGTAGTCCGTGTTTTAACAGTTTTTCAAGAAAATTGATAGAAGGCTAATTTCCAGGAAAGGTGGAATAAATAAAAAAACAAAACATGATTCTCGTGAAATAAACTGCAAGTCTCCAAGCTAAAAGACGAGGATGACAAAAATTCCTGTTTTTGCCTTTCTAATTTCACCACAGTCAAACAATCAGCGTGTCTACGACTGACGTCTGTACAAAATTCTAGCCATAATTTATAGATATGGCGTAGAATAAAATATATGCACTAGACCACTCCATAGGCTAGTCTTAAGCATACTCGACTTAAGAAATTCATGTGCACTCGTAGGATGTTTTTGTTAGGTATGCTATATATTATCAGTATCAGTATACTTGAGGGAAATGTAGGTGTGTACCTTTGAACTTCCTAGCTGTACATATGTGTTGCGATATAAAAATAGTATCTCGGCTTATTGGTGAGGCCAAATGACATGTCCTAAGTATGAGGAACAAATGTGAAAAAGAGCAGACAAGGAAAAAAATCCTTGGAATTGTTTAGGAGAAAAACTGTCACTCTCCGGGGCCAAACGAGGAATTCACCGCATAGGTTACCGGTGGCATCGAAGTGGGAAATTTGCGGCCAGGTACTCCCTTCCTAACTGAGGAGTCTGCCAAGTAACCCCATAGCAAGAAAACCTGGTCACTTTAACTTAGCGAAGGTAGATATGACATCTTTTCTAGCGCCGCTAGCAAATAAGCGTCTGCTACGGGCTACCTCCTTTATGGTCTGTAGAGTGTCAGGACATCGAGACTTGATCAACCTAGTACTTCCATGGATGTCTAGGTCGTCTCGGAAGTGCTCGTCATCTTAGCCGTCTTGTCTGGAACTATAAGTTAACTTTTCACACATGAAAGTACGCTTCCTCCTTGACGCCCTGGTAGCCAGGCATACTTACCAC